GGGGGTTGTGTCATCCCATGTTTCATGTCGAGCTCTGCTAGAATGTAACTACATGATACTTCGAGATACGACTCCAAACCCGGCGCCCGGACCATGGAGCCCTCCTAGAACCTAACAACGACCCCCAAAACCCCAACCTCAAGGGGCTCACGAGAGCTGAAGCATGTCTCAGGCGCCTTGGGTCTCAGGGCTCAGGTGTTAGGGTTTAGGGTGCAGGGTTGGGCTTGGTGGTAGTTTGAGATGCTGGGACAAGGAGTCCGTTATTAATTAGTAAAGAGATATCTATCTATCTATCTGTCTATCTATCTATCGCGTGTGCGCAGTTGCTTTCTTCTGTATGCAAAATTCCACTACACTACAATGCACTTTATGGCATTGTCCTGTACTGTACTGTCCTGTGCTGTACGGTGCCGTACTGTACTTTTTACTGAACTGTACCGTACGGTACGGTACTGCACCGCACGGTATTGCATTGTATTGCATACTCTACGGTACGGTATGATCACATCATAACAAAACTTGTTTGTATGTTTCTGTACAGCTGTGACATGGAAACCCTAAACCCTAAACCCACTTGTGAAAGGGCTAATTAGGATTCTGAGGTCTGAGGCCTTGGGGGCTTTGCAAGTTGGCGGCTTAGGGTCGTACGCCTTTTCAGCCCATGGTCTACAAGAGCTGAGCCCACATCTTCCACCATACTAGGATCAAAACGCAGAGCTACATCCCGAAACCATAGCTAGATCTTCTGTCTTTTGTGAAGTAAGGCATCATCGCCAACACCCAGAGAAAGATGTGGACTGCTACAACAAAATCACCACCAAAATTTTATATACGGGGTTCCTCATCCGGAGTTGAAGCATATTCCGGAGCCAAGGGGCTTGTAGTCCGGGACGGGTAGGCTCACAACGCCCCGGCTTTACGGTCTCGGGCTGTATAATTCACAACCAGAAAAGCCGATGCAGCCAGAGCTTCTCGTTGTCACGCTCCAGCTGCGCCACCTGTACCGTCGGCAGGCTACAGAATTTTCGAACGGTCATAAAATTGCATGCATATGTGCGCACTTTGTCCAGATAGATACATACATACATACATA